CTTGCAATCCGTGCTCGACAGCAGCGTCCCAGGAGTGCTTGGAATGTCGCGGACTATGACTAGCCGTCCGATCCATTATAGGAAAAAAAGTATGTCGTGAACTATAATGACTATGGGGAACGCTAAATAGGGAGATCCGTGTTGTAGTGTGGTTGAGTCCAGCGCTCCAGAACTTCTTCTGCGTGAGTGGGGAGGAAAAACCCGGTTGTGCAAACGAGGGAGGGGCTATTTACTGAGATATGGGAAATGTAAAAATGGAGCAAGAACCAAGGGCCGTGCCGATTGAGGCGAGGGCCCAGCGAGGGGAGTGAAGTGACGGATTCATTCAGTCGAGTCGCGTTGAAAGACGGCGGCGGACATGCGGCGTCCAGTTGCGAAGGGGCTAGTTGGGCGGATTCCATATGCGATTGGTGGTTTTCTTCTTAGTTTGGGGGCAGCAGGTTCGGTGCCTTGGCCGAACCTTAACCATTGGCTCCTGCTCGTTGATACAGCCCCCTCATCAGGCTTCTGGCTGTAAACGGGAGTGAATGTGGCGGGCAGAGTTAATGTACTTCCAAATTTTATAGTCCTTGTACAATCCTGTCAACCTTGCCAACTGCTATGCAATCGCAGCGACGATAAACTGTATTTCATTACCTTCAAAAAAACCACAAGGGCTGAAATTGTGTAATGCTCGAACTGTACTGTACTTATTAGGGCATCGCAGCATAGTTGTTCGGGCCCTGAAGCAGCGGTTCGTCGAGCCCCTTGAGGCTTGGTTGTTGACAGCACAGCAATTCCTGATGTTTGAACGACGTGAACTCGGACCGTGCGGGTGATGCGATTTCGCCACCTACCCGTCACCTTGTCATAGACTCGTGAATCCTGCGACGTCTTACGACGACTACGATCACTGAACGACGACCTTTGCGGCCCTGTTGAGTTTGCAGGCAGTTCTCCAGCAGGAACACGTCCACTCAAAACATATTCGCCCCTGAGATTTATCTCGAATTCATCCCTCTTTCATTACTTTGTTAATTTTGGTTGGGTTATAAAAAGCAGCATACATGTTGCACAATCATGAAGTGATGCAATACATTTCTAAGGCCACTATTAGCAGTTGGTGAGATGCACGCCAAAGTATTCTTCAGCCAGAGACCTATACGGTACTCCCATCCATGCCATCAGTCAGAGGCCATTATCTAATTTTGCGTAGCAATTGTTTTTCTGTATCATCCCATCCACCTCCCTCTCCAGGCCCATATTCGCTGGTCACCACTGTCACCATAGCTCCAGCCAGTTGGGGGTAAATCCTCTCATACGCCTTGCCTTTCACCTCTTGCCCTTCACGAAAGTAGATGATATTCTGGCCACCAAAGTAGCTCTCACTATGCTTGCCTTCTCCCCGTACACTCACAAAACACGCGCTCCGCGCGCAGCAGTCTGAATTGCACTTCATTGAAACTCAATTCTGGCCATCTCTTCTGAAGGTCCTGCATGATCTGCAACCGTGGATTATTTCCAACCCGCTCCTGCAGCGCCTCGTAGTCTCCCAAGTCCTTTCCGTCTCGACTTGCCTGCCTGGGCGGCTGCAGTGACATCCCCGGGTTGTTGTACACCACATAAAAACCAGCGTCTAAATACGCGGTGACGATTCCCATTAGAGTTGGTAAATCGATGAAATTCACCGGAGAACGGCCCCACTCTCGCTCATATTTATTCCCAATGACCACCAACCGGGATCCCTTGGGAATCTCCGGCCACACAGGGGGAAATTTTCTGAAATGGTGGGCAAGAGGCGGCGGCTGCCAGGCTGGCGGAATGCGACTGTAATGTATGCCTTGGCTAAAACCATATGCAGCGACATTGTTCTTCATGGCACTTCGACGACACGTGGCGTCATCTGTGTGGTTCGGGCTGAAGTAATAGAGTGAGGCCAAGGAATGCCGCCCGCAGGAGGTGGTGTAGCGGAGGGAGCCGCGGAGATGGTGCCAGTAGGCGAATGGGAGGACGGCGATTAACTCGTACCCGAACTCGCCCTGAAAAAATATATCCACCCCACCCATGCCATCCGTGCCATTCTGGTTGGGAAGCAGGTTGTGGTTGAGTGGGGGGGTTGAGGGGCTGTGGTGGATGGCTTGCGTGGCTCTGATGCTCTGCTGATTCTTCTGCTACTGTTTCTGCCGTTCCTAATGCTCTTGACGTTGTGGTTTCTACTGCTGCGGCTGTTTCGATCGCAATTGCTGCTGCATCACCTACTCTTCTTTTCCCCCTCCACCACCCCCCCATCCACCAGCACCCCCCGCTCTCCCCCACCCTTCTCCATCCCTCCGCTTCCTCCAACCCAGCTCCCCCCATCTCCACCCCTCCGCTTCTGTACCACCACTGTATCGAAATACAGCCTCGTCCTTATTAATTGCGCATTTTCTCCCGGCAGTTCCCCCGCATCGCAGCCCCATATGCGCCAACGGGCGGCATGGGTGCTTCTGCCGTAGCCCAATCCTCTGCGGCGGAGGGGGACATGGCTATGCGGGAGTGCGTCAAGCGCGTAGGCGGGAGTATCGACCACTGAATCTACCCCTGAAGTGGGCGGCAAGTGGAGAAGACGGGGGGGTGACGATTGGATGGTGAGGACGCCTTGAGGGGAAGGGAAGGAGGACTCCTGGGATATTTTCGGGACAACAACCTTCTGCTTTGGAAGCAGCAGCGAAGTGAAAAGGGGAAGGTAAAACACGTAGAGATATTAGGGATAGCAACAGCGGAGAGCGTTCAGGGGAAGCAACAGCGGAGAGGAATGGGGGGAAGCAACAGCAGGAAGGAGTGGGGGGAAGCAACAGAGGGGAGGAATGGGGGGAAGCAACAGAGGAAAGGAATGGGGGGAAGCAACAGCGGGAAGGAATGGGGGGAAGCAAAAGAGTGAAGGAATGGGGGGAAGCAACAGCGGGAAGGAATGGGGGGAAGCAACAGCGGGAAAGGGAAGGGAAGTGGGGGGAAATGGCAAAACAGAGGGGAGGAATGGGGGGAAGCAACAGAGGAAAGGAATGGGGGAAGCAAAAGAAAAGGATGGGGGAAGCAACAGCGGGAAGGAATGGGGGGAAGCAAAAGAGGGAAGGAATGGGGGAAGCAACAGAGGGAAGGAATGGGGGGAAGCAACAGAGGGAAGGAATGGGGGGAGCAACAGCGGGAAGGAAGGGGGAAGCAACAGTGGGAAGGAATGGGGGGAAGCAACAGCGGAAGGAGGGGGATGAGGGGAAACAAGGGGAGCACAGCGGGGGGGGAGGGAAGCAACATGGAGAGGAAGGAAGCAAACCAATGGAGGTTTGTGTTCCGAGATTCGTTCAAACAATTCTTGTTCCGATATTCGTGCTCAAAAAATAGCGTTTTCGCGAGCGCGTCACAGATGGGAGCAAGGCGGTTGCATGCGGGTCTGGCTTGGGAATGCATCACCACCGCGTACTCACACGCGGGTTGGGCGACGTCGCGCGGCGGATGGTCCTCGCAGGCCAGCGGCGGGCCTGGCGCGGCTGGTGAGTGCGAACAGGGGGCGTGGCGCGGGGAGGACAGGACGGACACAGGGTGGGTGGGTGGAGAGACGAAGCGTGGTGCGCGGAAGGTTGAATGGGGCAAAGGTATGTGTTAAAGAGGTAATAACACTCGATGAAGTAACGCAAGTGATAGGAATTTTTTGTCTTATGTTCTGTCAGCGCAAAGGAGCGGAAAATGAGATCCCAAAGCAGTCTTCCATTGTGAAACGGAATGAAACGACAGTGATTTACGGGGAAGGCGGCGGCGAGAGAAGGACGGAGAAGAGGAAGGCGTTACTACGTACCCGAGAAGAATACTAAAGCAAATAGAGAAGCAGCGACGACTACCAGCGTCAGCCACCAGAGCAACCGCTTCGCGCCTCCGCGTGGCACACGAGTTCTGGCTCGACATTAGCATCCCAGCAGCGCTTGGAGCAGCGCGGACCATAATTGGCCGTCCGATACATGCTAGGACTAGGAAATTTTAGTTGAAGTCACACGGACGATATGGAAAATGCAAAATGCAGCTTTGCGTCACGGAACGGTTGCGCGTCGTTGGAGCACAGCATTTCAGAAGTGTTGCCCGCACGAGGAGAGATGAGAGTCGAAGGGAGGTGTTTTGTACGTAGGAGGGACGGCAAGTTCTGACAATTCAGGCGAGGGCGCGGAGACTGGGCGACGCGATAACCTCTGACATCACAGAAACATTCATAAGCACATGTCACCGTGCGTCACCAAAGAAAATCCCTTTGCACCAGTTGTTCTGCAGCCGATCTGACCAGGCCACAGCTCATGCGGTTCGCGATTCGCGATGGCATGACTGATGCGATGTCCTTGCGACATCTTGCGAACTGCGATTTTCTACGACCGTTGCGTGTGATGACCGAGGACTCTACTCAACCCTCGAGGCCCGTTGATTTGCGGTACTCGTCGCCAGGGTAGAGAACTGTACTAGTTGAACGAACCACACCAGACTTTGTGCAATAAAAGTCTTCTCTCTCCTTCATAGTTCAATGCTGAGCAAACCACAAATGACAAATGGACTGTACTTGGGCAGTGCTAAATAGGACACGAAAAAACGCCAAATTAAGCAACAATACGATACAATACATAAACAAGAATATGTAGCAGCTGGTGTCGAGGACCTGCAATCCTCCTCCAAATTCCGTCCACAGAGAGTATTCTGTAGCCTTGTTACCAGCAAAGAGGCTCGAAAATGGGCCAGTTTGCTGGAAACAAGCGAAGAGGCGGAGGATGGAAGGTCCACGCACAGCCTGCCTGCACCAAACAAAGACAAACCTAAAAGCAAGAAATGGGAAGCAAAAAAACATCCAAGCAGCAGATGGTGTGCTTGGGCACAACTGGTACACCCTTTCCTCTGTCTTCGTGAGCGCAAGCAGACATCTTGCTTGCAACTCCACCAGACGTGCACTGCCACTGTAGCGCTCGCTGCCACATTTGCATGTATGTCATGTGCGTGGCAATGCGGCAAGTCAGTCACACAGGTTGTTGTCCCCGTGAGACGGCAGAGTGGCCGATGAAGGTGACCAGGTGCGCCATCAGCTTGTCCTTGCGGCTGCATGGGGAGGAGTTTTAAGGGTAACCACAGGGAAAGGCGAGGGAAAGAAAGGAAGACAGGATCACTCAACGGAAGGGGGAGTAATGTAAGGAAGCCAGAGGACACAACCGAGGCCAGTTGGAGCAAACAGAGGCCAACAATCCATAACATGAAGGTGCGGGTTAACAAGCATCTGCCCAGTGAGGAGGCTTCAAAGCGCTCACCTGAAACGCGACCCGCAGGAGCAGGTCCAGCTGGTGAGGCCACAGTGCTTCTCATGCGTGCGCAGAGATCCGCCAGCACCGCAAAGCGCTTGGCGCCGCCACAGCGCGAGCACGCGAGCAGCTTGGGGCAGTGCGAGCGGCGGTAGTGGTTGCGCACACACAGCACCGTCTTGAGCGGCTGGAAGGCCGCATGCTCCCGGTGCCGCTTGCACCCCGCTACTGGGCAGGCACTGAAGCGGCACTGTGCTGGATCCACTGGGGTCGACGAAGGGAAGGAGGAGAGTGGGGGAGGAGACGCTGCTGGGTGCATGGGGTTCATGCGGCCGTGTGCCTTGATGTGCATGCGCAGGTTGGCCTCGCGCTTAAAGCCCTTGCCGCAGGCGTCACAGAAGTGCATCTGATCGTTGGAGAGTTCTGCCACCCGCAGCTCCACTATCATCCACTCCCCCCACGCACGCCTTCCGCTCCCCACCCAGCCCCGCCGCCGCTGCTTGCTGCCGCGCTGCCTCCTCGTCGCTGTCGCTGGCTGTGCAGTGGCGGTGTAGCTCACAGTGGCAGTGGCTGTGACAATTGCTGTATCTGCTGAGCCTGATGCTGCTGCCTTGGAGCCTTCATAGCAATCTTTCATGGACTCTCCGCCTGATGCCGCTCTCCTGGCGCTGCCTCTGGTGCTGTGCCAGATGCTGGTTCAATCGCTGTGGCTGGTGCTGCTGCTTGGCCTTCCTCCAGCTTAGCTTGCTTCAGCGGTCGCTCTCCCATTGCTGCCTCCATTTCACCATCATGTTCCCTTCCCCTCTTGCTCCTTTCCGCATTTTGCCCTGCTCTCCCGCCTTTTCTCCTCCCTCCTCTCCCACCTCAGCGTCGTCTTCCCCCTGTGCTGGCGCCAGCTCCGGATGCTGCGGCGGAAACGGGGGAAGCGAGGGGAGGGGGAGGGTGGGGAAGGAGAGGGGCCGCAGTAGGCCCCGCAGAGGGTCAGCAGGCGCAGGCGCGGCTGAAGGGGGAGCGGCGACGGGTGAAAACAGGGGGAGCGACATCGCGACAGCAGCGGCGGAGGCGAGGGAGCAGTGGGCAGCGCTGGTTGCTGCTGCTCGTGCTGCTGCTGCTGCGGCTCTTGCTGCTGCTGTTGCTGCTGCTGCTCCTGGAGCTGCAGCGCTTGCGCCAGAGCCATCATCATCGCCTCTTGCATGTGCGGCTGCTGGACCCCTTCCGCCTCCGCTTGCCCCTGCGCCTCCGCCTCGTCCCGCTTCTCCGCGGACTGATCAGCATTCCCCATCTCCGCGTACTGCTGCGCCGATTGCTCCTGCTTCGCGCGAATCTGCTCCGCGCGCACCACCCCCGCGATGTCGGGCAGCAGAAGCTGCGCCTGCAAGCGCGGCGGAAGCAGCCCCACGGCGGCGAGCGCCACCTGCTGAATCACCGCCGCGACGCCCACCGCCGCCGCCTCCTGCTGCTCGCGCACGGCGGGTTCGGGGCTGCTCTGCGCCACCAGCGGAATCAGCAGCTGCAGCGCGGCGATCTTGCCCTGGAGCGACCCCAGAGCTGACATCAGCGATGCAGGGGACACGTTGGTGGCTGACGTGTGCAGTGGGAGTGAACCATGCTGCTGGCACGTGGCCGCCATATTCCGTGGTTTGATTGCCCGTGCCGTGCGAGGCAGCAGCGCTAGGCGGCGGGCCCGTGAAGGAAGCGGATGGCGGAAGAGTCAGAAGGGGGATAGCGGCCCAAAAGATACCCCAGCGGCGTAAGCGCTGGTTGCTGCGGATGGGGTTACTCCCCCGAGACTTCGGCGGCTAGCGCAGCCGCCGCCGGCGGATGTGGCGGCGGAGGGGGAAGTAGTGAGGCAGGAGCCGTCGTTGCCTTGGCCGACTTGCCACTGTGTTTTTTCCTGAAGATGTTCCTGAACATTCTCCCGGGCTGCAGGTTCAGATGCAGCGGATCCCATCCGTTCGTTAAGCGTGTGGCAACGGAGGCGCCATTGTTGGGGGGACTTCGGCGGAAGCGGATATGTTCTTGCGCGCAATGGCTTGGATCAGCGGAGTTGGCGGAGCCTCCGCAGCGCCTTCCACGACCATTCCCTCTCCTCCCCCATAGCGCCCCAATTATCACCCTTGTTCTCCAACCTCCACTGCTCCTCGCTTTCCGCACTTTCCGTCCCCATTCATCCCATTCCATGAACCGGCTGCCCCATTCGTTATTTTCCGCGGACCCAGCCGCTTCGCACGGAAGCGGCGCTTGGTGAAAGCTGCTGAATCCGTCGACGAGAGGGATTTGCGGCAGGGAGACGGTCGCCCACACGGCGGCTGTGCCCGCGGCGCCGTCATTCTCGAGGTCCATTCGTCCGCGCCTTCTCGGACGCGGAAGGGCGTTCGGAGGAGCGAATCGGGATGCTGCGGAGCGCCACTGACTCAACACGGTACCCAGCACACCGTGTATAGGAATCCGTTTATTAGAGGCTTCACGCCGTGGCTTTAAGTGGCCCTTATGGACCCTATCAGCCTGAGAACGGTCATTCTGCCCACGGGATCAACTTCTTCGTTCTTGTTGATGATTGACGGAATGCGTTTCTTTTCTAGGCTGATAGGGTCTCTGCTGGGTTGATTCACGGCTCACAAAATGGCGGACTGGGAAGCGACAGAGAGTGGAAAGATGGCGGCCTCTACGCCTAGGCGAAACAGCGACTGAACTCACGATGTTACTGCAAGCATCGTCAAGGGCTTGGTCGAGGCAGTCCAAAAGCTGCTGCTTCTGTGTTGCCGTCAGCAAGTACACTACACGGCGAGAAAGAATTGTGTGGAAGATGGGCTGGTTGCATCAATGCCATCGTGGGGGAATTTTCCGTGTAGTTGGTGGGTGGGTGGGTATGGCGGTGAAGGGAAGCAGGAGAGACCGTACGGTCGGGGGGAAGAAGGGCGCGTGTGGGGAAAGAAGGCCGCGAGTGAGGCACTGAATTTGAAAAGGGCGGATGGCCTATTATCGAATCATACAGATCGTAGGGCTCTCCTTCCTTACCTGTTTGTTGTATCTTGCTGTGCCAGTTCGTCACACAACAACAGCAAAACAGCTGGATGCTCAACCTCGGCACTAGACAATCCATCCCCGCCTCTGGCCGCACACACGCGCACTTGTTCCGCGAATCCCAGGGTAGTTGGGGGCTTCGTCGAATCAAATTGAAGACCAGAGTCGCATGGACCCTGTCACCCTGGTTTCCTTTGCTGGGGGAGGAGGCCGAGGCGCAGGGCTGAGCTGACGTGGTTCATTTCGAGGGCTGATGACGCGACAAGGGAAAACCGAAATCGTGTGCTACACGACATGATTCTGTGGGAGTGTCGGTGCTCTTGAGAGGCAGACATTGGCGGGATGCCGTGTGAATTTCTCGAAGAACACGACAAGAAGCACAGCTGGTGGTATTAAACCCGTTTTTGTTTGACCTTGTTTAGAGCCATACACCTCAAACATTCTGATTTGTATCCAGTTCTCCTAATATGTGGATTGATGATCATTTTAGTGGAACTGGTACATGATTACCACAATTCCTTAGCGAAGATCATGAGAATTTCGGGAACTCCGATAAAGGTCTCTAGCTAACTCCATTTCCC